TATAGGATTACAGGCATGAGCCACTGGTGCCCAGCTGGACTTTTATTTTTAAGAGGTTCTTGGGTGGATGGGGATCTCAGCCAGGCACAGCAAGTCCCCGCCAACCCATGTGGGACCTCTATGTGCTATATTTCCTTTCACCTCTTTCTTTTTACTCTTCCCTCTGTCCCCCTAGCCTTGTCCCATGCCAGCCCTTAATGTTCTCAGCCTAGGCAAGTAAGTTTTGTTTCTTATGTTTTTAAATTATATGAATGATGCCAATAAAACCTCAGTTACTCTGTTAAATAGAGAAAGAGAAAGAGAGAGAGGTGGGGGAGGGAGGGAGGGAAGGAGAGAGACAGAAAGTGGGTATGCAGAGAGAAAAGAATGGGACACACCCTGGAAAAGATGGGGCACTGCACCCTTGATCCCTTCCTGTCCTGCAAGCCTGTGAGAAAGGTCTTTATTCTTAATTAGTTTGATTGGATTTTTGTTAAGATAATATCACCCCCACCCCATACTGGTTTGAGTCTAGAGCCTGACACTAGGCAAGCGCTTTACTCATTAGGTCATTCCTCTAGCCCGTGAGACTATCCTAGGTTAATTCCCCTGTCTTCTGGAAAGTTAAACCCAACAAAGACCTAAGAAATCTGTGATTCTCAAATGTGAAGGGAAGTTACAGCAAACATTGCACAATAGACCCAGTGTGTCTTCACTGTACTTGTTCTTTGATTTGTTCTTCTAGAACTCCTCATCCAACTTCAACCTGGCTTGCTGCTGCTACTCTGCTCCCTTCAGGAACCACATCAGAACTGCCCACTTTTGCCAGGGTAACAACTCGCTTTATTACTCAGTAATGTACTATCAAGTATACAATAATATACTATATACTTGCTAAGTGTTTTGTAGATAATAAATTCTTGAACCAAATTAGGATATTATTGTTCAATATAGCAAAAGAGGAAATGATGCTTAGGAAGTTTAGTAAATTACCCAAGAACACTTAGCTGAAGCTGTTGAGCAGGATTCTGTTTCCGATCAGTGACTCTGCTATACTTCTTCCTCCCTGCCTGGCTAGAATTGGCTGCTGGAACCTAGACCTAAGGGGGCATTGGAGCAGGGCACCTGTGGCTCATACCTGTAATCCTAGCTACTCAGGAGGCTGAGATCTGAGGATCACAGTTCAAAGCCAGTCTGGGTAGGGAAGTCTGTGAGATATATCTTCAATTAAGCACTCCCCCCACCCCCCCAAAAAAATCCAGAATTGGAGCTGTGGCTCAAGTGGTAGAGTGCTAGCCTTGAGCAGAAAATGTCAAGAAATGGCACCTAGGCCCTGAGTTCAAGCCCCAGGACACACACACACTAAAGAGGCAAAATTTTGGTCTCTATGATCATGGCTCCTGGCCCTTATGCCTTCCAGTGGACTGAAGATGTTTTGAAGATGCAATGAACTGGGTTGGATGAGTCAAATAGTGTCACTCATGGAGCTGCAGTGCACTAGCTGGTTCTGAGATTCCAGACTCATGCAGTGGAAGTTCCTTGCTTCCATGTAGCCCAAGGGCTATGGCTGAACAGGGCTTAGTTTCTGTCTTTCTGGCCCTTTCAGCCCAGCATTCTGTTTTCTGGTGCCCTAAGCTCCTCTTGTCTTTGCTCTTTCTCATATCCACATTCAGAAAGGAGAAATATTCTTGTGATCCTGCAAAATTTCCCTCTCAGTTCTGCCATTTTTCTTTTCCCTCAGTGATACTTACTCTATTTTGTTATTATTGGTTCAAAAGGACTAGTATAATTTCCTTAATAGACTTAAGCTAAAAACATCATTTCTGCTTTCTTATCTGTCGTGTCCCTCCTCTAAGGAAATGAAACTTAGGACTGCCTACCTGAATAAAAGGCGGATTTGAGAAGGTTACTGCACCTTTCTAAAACTAGATCTCCTACCTTCAGAAAGGAAATAGCAGCTATCTTACTGAGCTGTTAAAAGACAATAAAGAAACTTCAGGAGCTGGTGCTGGTGGCTCATACCTGTAGCTACTCTGAGGTCTGAGATCTGAGAATTTCAGTTTAAAGCCAGCCTCAGCAGGAAATTCTGTGAGACTCATCTCTAATTAACCAGCCAAAAGTCCGAAATGAAGCTGTGGTCAGGTTGTAGGGGACCATTCTTTTTTTGTTTTGCTTTGTTTTTGCCAATTCTGGGCACTGTCTTTGAGCTTGTTTTACTTAAGACTAGTACTCTACCATGCACCACTTCCAGCTTTTTCAGTTTATATGGTACTGAGGAATAGAACCCAGGGTTTCATGCATGCTAGACAAGCACTGAACACTAAGCCACATTCCCAGCCTAAAGCACCATTCTTGAGCAGAAAAAGCCAAATGAGAGCTCAAAACCCTGAGTTTAAGCCCCACTATAGGCTCAAAAAAGCAGTACCAAAAAAGAGAAGCTTCTTTTTTGTTTGTTTTTTGTCAGTCTTGGGGCTTGAACTCTAGGCCTGGGCACCGTCCCTCAGCTCTTCTGCTCAAGGCTAGAGCTCTACTACTTGAGCCACAGCGCCACTTCCAGCTTTTTCTGTTTATGTGGTGCTGAGGAATCAAACCCAGGGCCTCATGCATGCAAGGCAAGCATTCTACCCCTTCCCAGTCCCCGCCCCCCCCCCCCCAAAAAAAAGAGAAACTTCTGAACTTCATTAAGCTATAACTTCATTAAGCTAGCCTGCTATCCTCAATTTCCCAAAGCTCAGTTAACAAAGTTTTTAACTCACACCTATAATCCTATCTGCTGAAGAAACTGAAATCTAAAGATACCAGTTTGAAGCCAGCCTAGGCAGGAAAGTCCATGAGTCTCTTATACCCAATAAACTACTCAGAAAAAGCTGGAACTGGAGCTGTGGCTCAAGTGGTAGAGAGTTGACCTTGAGCAAAAAAGAGCTTGGGAACAGTACCCAGGCCCAGAATTCAAGCCTCAGGACTGGCAAAACAAAACAAAAACCTTTAAGTAGTTGTACAAAATGGGTCAGTTTATGATCATAATGCATTTTTTTTCCTTTTTTTGTGTGCTGGTAATAAGCCTTAAACTCAAGGCCTGAGCACTATCCCTCAGCCTTTTCTCTCAACTTTTTAACCACAACTTCACTTTCAGCAATGTTTTTAGTGGTAAATTGGAGATTAGAGTCTCATGGACTTTCCAGCCTCAGCTGGCTTTGAACTGCCGTGCTCAGATCCCAGTCTCCTGTGTAGCTAGGATTACAGGCGTGAGCTACCTGGTTAATATAATGCAGCTTGATCATTGTCACACCTTCGATCTCCAAAAGGAAATTTTACATCCCCACTATATATAGAATATTATTTGTTTTAAACTAAAAGTTGAACAAAATTTTTAAAAGACCCTGTTGCGAAGGGAAGTAAGTTGTTAGAGTCATTCACAATCTACGCCAAAGAGAGACTTTGCCAGACATAAATCAGAATGGGTCAGATACCAGAAGAAGAAATAGCTTTCTCACTGGTATACAATAAAAATATTAAATGTGACTTCACCCATGTCCCATTAAATCATCTTCCCTGTCACTTGAAACCATTTCCTGTCTTATCTTACACTTGGACGACACTGAGATCATGCATGTAAAGCACTTGCCTCAATGACTGGCATAAGGTTTTGTTATCTTTTCTAATTCCTTCTTTTCTTTTCCTACAGGGGTTAAAGGCTCACCTAAGCCCAAAACAATGACTACAATCTGTGTCTTATGTCCCCAGAGCATGGAGTCTGGATCTGGGCTCTGCCATTTTGAAGTTACGTTATCTTGGGCAAGGGATTCTTTCTCTGTGCCACAGTTTTCTTATCAGTAGTATGCTGATAGAACAGCAGTTAATTCATAAATGACTTACTACACATAAAGCACTCATAATAGTACCTAGCACCTACTCAACATTCTATACATATTATATAATTAATTCTATTATGTGCTAGCATAATAGTGTTCTTTCTTTTTAATCATGCACATTATGATAACAGTAGTCATGAACAAGTAGGTTACTATAGAAAAGATGTTCTCAAATTGGGGTGAAGAAATAGTTGTACTCTCCTTATGTTGACCTGTAAATAGAACAAAAGTTAACTATTAGAAAAATGAACTTAAAATAAGAAAATGTAAAAATACAAATCTACTATTTTTAAATTACTAGATTCTCTAATCAGAGAAAAACACAGGAAAAATGAGTTACAACAGTGTAGACACTGTTCATTGAACTCTGAGTACAGGTTATTAATAGAGTCTTGCTTTAGTATCTTCACGTTGTTTCATGTTTACAACAGGACAATACAAAAGAAATTAAATGTTCTCATATGCACCAATGCACACTGAACCAAACACCTTGAATATCAATTTTAAAAAATAACTGAGCTTTTTTGGGGAGGGAGGTGCAGGTCCAGAGAGTTGAACTCAGGGCCTGGGGGATCTTTTCTTTCTTTTTTTCTCAAGGCTAGCACTCTTCCACTAGAACCACCAGCTTTTTTGGTGCATAATGAGAGATAAGAGTTTCACTAACTTTCCCAGCTGGCTTCAAATCATAATCCTCAAATCTCAGTCTCTTGAGTAGCTAAAATTACAGGAATGAGCCTCAGTGCTCATTTATACTTGCTTGTTGATTGTTGTTGGGTTTTTTTTTACTTGTTAATTTATGTAATCTAGATTGGCTAGATGATAGCACTCCTAACAGGAACTATGTATCTTAGTATTTGCTATGTTTGTTTCAATAATATTCATAACAATGCAACCCATCTCACAGAGATATGAAGGAAAAGGGATTTAAAGCAGTTTCTATAAGCTCTGGTTTCAGCTTATATCTAAACACAAAGTATGTAGTGTTGTATAGTCAACATTCATTTTCAGTTCTTCATTTGTAGTCAGTTCCCAAACTTACTCTTTTATTTTTCTTTACCAGTCCTGAGGTTTGAACTTCAAGGCCTCTGCACTGTCCCTGCACTTCTTTGAGCCACAGTGCCACTTCTGCTTTATCTGTTTATATGGTGCTGAGGAATCAAACCCAGGGCTTCATGGATGCTAGGTAAGCACTCTTCCACTAAGTCACATTCCCAGGCCAGCAAAATGGATTCTTCATAGTTAAATTTGTATTATCTTTGATAAACAAATGAACAAGTTGAGTTCTGGATTTTAGAAACTTTAGGGCTATAGCTAAGAAATTTAACCTTTAATAATTCTAGCTAGTGCAAATGTGATGCCTGCATTTGAGCTATACCCATTAAATGAGATGAGTCCTCTGGTACACTGAGGGTATGGCTCCATGGTAGAGGGCTTGCCTGGCATGCTTGAAGACCTGGATTCAATCTTCATCACCATCAAAAATGGAAACAGCTAATGGCAGTCCCGTCGTGATGCTCATACATGTTGTGACTATATTAAGTTGTTAAATTGCGCTATATTGTTGATTTATTTGTCTGATGGTTGGGAACAAATCTAGAGACCATACTGTGAGTAGTACTAGTCTACAATACTGTGCTGGGATGTGAAATTACACAACTTAAAAAATTGTGGAGTAGCAAATGATGCTTCAGTTTTGCTATTGTTGTTGTTGTTGGGGAAGTACTGGGGCTTGAACTCAAGAGCCTCATAAATTGCTAGGCAGGCCCTCTAGTACCTAAGCCATGTCCTAGCCCTTTATTGCTTTATTTTCTTGATACAGTTTTGAATTATTTTCCTGAGACCAGTCTTGGTCTAGGTCCTCCTGCCTATGCCTTTTGAAGCCAGTAGGTCTGGCTTATTTATTGAGATGGGGGAGGGGGGGTCTTACCAACTTTTTCCCTAGGCTGGCCTTGAACCACAGTTCTCAGAATTTCTACCTCCCAAGTAGCAATCACTGGGTATAGGCATGAGCCACTGCTCTCATTTATTTTTTGCTGCTTTTATTTATATTTTTAACCCAAAATGATCTTACTGCTGAAGAAAGTATCTATCTCCAATTTAAAAACTGGCATCTTAGGTGCTAAAGAAATTTATTGAAAAGATATCCTTGGCAGAGAGGTAATATTGCAAAGTGTATGGGAGTGGGGGGCAGGTAATACTAGGGCAGAATTAGTCCTTTCTTCTTGATCTGTAACCACAGTCTTGTGTTTACATTTGCAGTCACCTGTAAGCCCCCATCAAGGCTGGCATGCGTTGTGTTTATCTGGAACTGGAGTACTCAGTACAGAGATGGACACCTAGCAAATACTCAGTAAATACTGAGAGGATTCTAAGAAGCTTATCTTTCTTACATTGCTGGTGGAGCGTTGTGGAGGGACAATTACCAAGAAATGTAAGAACTGTTTAGCAGTATGGAAGCAATATGTAGCATATTAGCAATAATAATAACAGTAACAATAATAATAGCAATATGTACATCTTTCCTTTTTCTTATTAATCGTTTCCTGATTTATGAGATGCAAAGACAGTGGCTCCATTGAAAGCCACTCTGAACTCTACTCGTTTGCAGGAGGGAACATTTACATGCAAAATTTTTCATTGATCCAAGTAGGTATTTTTAGATGGATTGTATAGGCTCTTTTATTCTACTTTCTATCAGGGAGGGTGTGTCTTCGTTATCTTGGTATCGCTGAGGACAAACAGAGGGCATGGCACATACCTGCAGCAGGATGTTATTAGCACATCTGCCAGGGAGAAGCTGGCCAAGTGAAGTATAGCTTCCAAATGTAATGTGACACACATCACCCGAGGTCTTGTTAAAATGCAGTTTTAGATGCCATCGTTCCAGGTGTAGCACCAAGTGATGCCAATACTTCCGGTTTATGGGTCACACTGGCAGTAGCAAGGACTGAGGAAGAATGAAACAAAGCTGCATTTCTGTGGAGATGTTTGGTAGCAAACTAAGTAAAAGATATGACTGATATTATTTAGGAATGATTGTGTGTGTGTGTGTGTGTGTGTGTGTGTGCATATGTGTGTGAGGATATGTGTGTCAGTCTGAGGCTTGAACTCAGGGCTCGGGTGCTGACTCTAAGCTTTTGTGCGCAAGGCTAGTGCTCTACCACTTGAACACAGCGCCAATACTGGCTTTTTTGGTGGTTACTTGGAGACGAGACTCTCAGAGGCTTTCCTGCCGGCTTGCTTTGAACCACAACCCTCAGATCTCAGCCTTCTGAGTAGCTAGAATTACAGGCGTGAGCTGCTGGCACCTGGCAGTCATGACTTTTTAGTGATCTGTAAGTATGTGTTGTTTTGGAGACATAATAAAAGGCTATTTAGGACATGTCACAGGACATTTCACAATACTCTCTGGGAACTCACAGTTGCCTAGAATAGTACATGAAACTGCAACAATCATCTTTTGAAGCTAGAAACTCAAAAGCCAGGTGCCATAGAGAAACAAAACACAGTGAAGCAGTTGTAAGTGACATTCTTGTCTGTGTTCTAGAATCCATGTTGAGATCCACCTTTAAAAATATTTTTATTGATCACTTATTTACATTAGGCTGCTTTGTAAAATTTAAATGAACATATCTCTTTCCTTCTAGTGGTGACCTGGTGGCCCAGATCAACAGTGTGGAATGCATCTTGAGGACTTCACAAACTTGGAAAACTGATCCATTTTAGGCTAAGTGCAAGCCTGAGCCACAAGTTCAGCAGTAAAATGGGATTAGTACTACTATCTTTTTTCCCCCGGGGTACTGGGACTTGAACTCAGGGCTTCAAGCTTGCTCAGCTGGTGCTCTACTATTTGAGCCACATCATCAGCCAGCACTACTATCTTGTACGATGTTTACTAGGATATATTGAGAACAATCCTTGGCTATAGTGGGATGCTCATAAACGAAAATTATCCCAACTTGCAAATATTGCCAACCTAAGTTCTAACTCATCTAATCAAGTGAGGTTAAATAAGCATAATTTATAACCCACTTTCTCTAGTTATTTGTAAACGTTTACATGTATTATATATTATATATTCATTCAATATATATTATATATACATAATATATGTATTATAAACTATATATACATTTACTAATGGAATACATACACTTATAAATAGTATATACGTATATACATTTACCAATTATATGTGTGTGTGTGTGTGTATATACATTTCTCCACCAGATTGCCAGCTTCCTTGAAGGGAGGAAATTGTTTTTATCTAGCTAACCCAAGTGCCTTAGAGAGACTGGACTCTAAGGACATGGTAGTTTAAACAAGGAAGATCACGCTCAGAGTTAAAAATGGTTTTGCCGGGAGCTGGTGGCTCACGCCTGTAATCCTAGCTACTCAGGAGGCTGAGAGCTGAGGATCGCGGTTCAAAGCCAGCCCGGGCAGGAGAGACCGTGAGACTCCTATCTCCAATAAACCACCAGAAAACCGGAAGTGGTGCTGTAGCTCAAGTGGTAGAGCGCTCGCCTTGAGCTGAAGAGCTGAGGGACAGCGCCCAGGCCCAGAGTTCAAGCCCCACGACCGACAAAAAAAAAAAAAAAATGGTTTTGATATACACTCCAATCACATCTTTTGCCACTTTTCATGTTACAAAATAAGTTGTCAACATACTAGTTTAATTAACCCAATGACTAATATCTTTTCTTGTGACCTAAAAGACAGTATGAATTTTAGAGGTCAGAATTCAGGTCATAATCCTGATGTTCATTACTTTTGGCCTGCTTGTCAGAGACAATTCAAGTTGAGCTGGTTGATTCTCTTTTCAATAAATGTGGACTTTGTTTCAAAGTGTTCTGAGTTTTGGACTGATAATTGTTATAAATCAAAACAAAAAAAACCCGCCAATGAAGCCCCAATTAGAACTGGGATGATAGCCTGGTGAATGGTTAGGAAATACATATGACAGTTTCAGTCTGAACTCTCATTCCTATTTGGGAAGACCTAAGTGGGAAGAAGTCTTTGTAGTACAACAGATGGTAATAAGGAACCATGGTAGAAATGTAATCAGAGGTGAGAGCTCAGATCATTACCTAGGAGCAAAAGAAAATAGAAGCCAGGTACAAGTGGCTCATACCTGTAATCTGAGCTACTCAGGAGGCTGAGATCTAAGGATCATGGTTTTAAGCCAGCCCAGGCTGGCGATTATTTTTGGTGATTATTTCCAATAATCACCAAAAATCCAGAAGTGAAGCTGCAGGTCAAGCAACAGAATGCTAGTCTTGAGGAAAAAAAAAACCCTCAGGGACTGCCCCAGGCCCTGAATTCAAGCCCCAGGACTGACAAAAAAAGAAAAAAACAAAGAAGAAGAAGAAGAGAGAAAATAGAACAGTCCTTGGCAACAGTCTACTTGGAAATTTAGGTGAGGGGTACTTGTGAAATCGACTCAAAATCTGGACTCCAGTGCATATAATTGGCCTATGAGCAGTCTAATGACAAGACAATGCTTTTGAGATTCATCTGTTATCATATATTTGTGGGGGTGATTTTGGATTTTCCCTTTGCATGAGAATAGCTATCACCTAAGAAGGGTTCGCTGGGCTCTGGCACTATTGTGAGAGATGCTGGCTTAGCTGCAGACTGGTGGTAATTGGGATGACTTTTTTTTTCCTCTAGGGAAAACACAAAATTTCAATTTGCCAAATTATTATGACATGAGAGACTTTAGGAAAAGAATCTAAATACATAAAGTAGAAAATGAGCCTATTTGGAAATTTTTCTGGACTAAACTAGCCACAAAGAATAATCACAGGACACACGTTCCAGGTGAAACATAGCAGTTTCTCTGGCACTCAGTGAAGCCCTGGCCTTAATACAAGCCCTGAGGGCTGCACATGACTAATAATTGGTCTCAGGGTGATGTTTGTTATCAGTGGGTGGGGTTGCAAAAGCTGCTTCTGGGGTAAGGCTAGGCCCCTTATTTCCTTTACACCACACACCTGGCTGACCCTTATAATAATGGGCTTGCAGAAGGAAGCCCACAATACTGGAAAGGAGTAGGGATCATCTCATTCTCTTCAACATTCTCACCAGAGAAAGTTCAAGGTGGCAGCATGGAAACACAGAACAAAAGACACAAGAGGGAACGAGAACCTGATACTGACAGTGACTCTGACTCTGAGTCAGGATTGGACTTAAGCAAGAAAATGGAGGTGACACCTGCAGTAGAAGGTGTGAAGGCATTGTAAACTAAGTGCACAAGGCTAGGGGCACCCTTCAGGGACTAAGGGAGCTCCACAATGGTGAGATAGTCATGAAATGTTTATTGTGGATTTTATGCCTGGTATTCTGCAGTGATTAGAGCACGTGAGGCCCAAGCTGTTTCATGTAATTAACTCTGAATAAGTGAAACTTCGGATCTTCTTATTCTTAAATACTATCCATGGGAAATTTTGTGTGTGTGTGTGTGTGTGTGTGTGTGTGTGTGTGTGTGTGCTGGTCTTGGGACTTGAACTCAGGGCCTGGGCCCTGAATTTTTTTTTTTTTTTGAGTCCGGTTGTGAGGCCTGAACTCTGGGCCTGGGCACTGTCCCTCAGCCCTTCAGCTCAAGGCTAGTGCTCTACCACTTGAGCCACAGCACCACTTCCGGCTTTTTTCTTATGTGGTGCTGAGGAATCGAACCCAGGGCCTCAAGCATGCAAGGCAAGCGCTCTACCACTGAGCCACCTTCCTAGCCCCATGTCCTTGAATTTTTGTGCTCAAGGCTAGTACCATATTTGAGTTACAGCTCCTTTTCTGGGTTTTTGATGGTTAGTTGGGGATAAGAATCTCACAAACATTCCTGTCCAGACTGCATTTGAATGGAGATCCTTAGATCTCAGCTTTGTAACTAAGATTATGGGTATGAACTGCTGGCACCTGTCTTCATGGGCAAGTTTTTAATATATATTTTAATACACTTTTTAAAACACATACTAACCCCAGTTTGTGCTTTCCTCAATGACTTGGAGTCACCACCTTGTTACAAAATACCAGATATTCAGTAAAAGTGGGATTTCAGCTAAACGTGTTATTTAAAGAAATTGTGTCTTGTTTATCTGAAGTTCAAATTTAACTGGGTGTCTTATTTTTATTTGGTAAGTCTGACATTACTATTATTATACAGTGCTGTCATAATATGGTGGATGCCTCAGTTACAGATGAGTTATAGTAGGACTAATCATTCTCTCAAGACTGTGGTAATTCTTGAATTTGGAGATTTTTCCCAAGGATCTTTCTTGGTTTCTAGTTACTGCATTGTTTATTGAAGCCAGCTTATTGTATTTTTTTAAGTCTTGTTTTCCTCTCCTATTTCATTCTATTAATTGATTTAGGCTGGGAAATAGCCCCAAATATTACTGATTTTTTTTTTTTGTAAAGTAAAAGTAGTTTCTGAGCAGTACCTGTACTTGAGGGTGTATATGTGGCAAAGTATGTAAATTTTAAAAACAAGGATTTCATAAATTCTGAATTTGAGTTCCCAAAGTTGGACAGTTGAATCACTTTAAAGTTTCTTGGACTAAGTAAGTCACAACTTGTTTTCTGGAATGTATTACTTTCTTTTTTTGCTATTACCAAAGTTCATTTAACAAAACTTTTCATCTGAAAAGGGACATGACCCAATTTTATGTCAGAGTGAAACAGGCATTTTGGAGAGGGACCAAAAATTTCTTTGCTGACCAGCCATTAAACTCCTTGAAAGGCTTCTAACATAATGCCCTTTCCTTGAACTTCCACCATTCCAATATTATTCTACTTTCCACAGCCACCCATTCCTCCACCACAAGATTCTTAAAAGAGATCACATCCCTGCAATATTCCTTGGACATGTTGGCTACTATTTAATTACAATGACTTCTTATTGTTTTGCCAGTCCTGGGGCTTGAACTCTGGGCCTGGGAGTTGTCCCTGAGCTTCCTTTGCTCAAGGCTAGTACTCTCCCACTTGAGCTTCAGTGCCACTTCCAGATTTTTCTGAGTAGCTGATTGGGGATAAGAATCACATGGACTTAAGGGCTGGGAAGGTGACTCAGTGGTAGAGCACTTGCCTTGCATGCCTGAGGCCCTGGGTTTGATTCCTCAGCACCACATAAGCAAAAAGAAAAAAGCCAGAAGTGGCGCTGTGGCTCAAGTGGTAGAGCGCTAGCCTTGAACTGAAGAGCTGAGGGACAGCACCCAGAGTTCAGGCACCACGACCAGGCCCCCCCCCCCCCCAAAAAAAAAAAAAAGAATTACATGGACTTTCCTGCCCGGGCTGGCTTCAAACCATGATCCTCATATCTCAGCCTCCCGAGTAGCTAGGATCATAGGTACCATCCTCCAACACCAGCTAATGATAGCTTCCTGTCCAAACTTTTTTTTTGTTTTTAACTTGGGAGGGACAGTCTGGCTCCTGGTGTCTCATAGTTCATGTCTTACTTTGTTTTGCATTGGTCTCCATAGGGGACTGTTCAGAAGAAGTCATCTTCTGTCAGAGATAAATATTAGATATAGGAAATTCGCAATAATATGTTTACAACTTATGCCGTATTCTAGATGTTTTTCCTGGAAAATCTTTAGGAAGACTCAGGCAGCTACTGATCTGGCTTGATTACAGGTAATCTTGCCTTGAGGCTGGGGACTTCATTGGGTGACCTATTAAAATAACTGCCAGAAACACATGGCAAACTTGCAAATATTTGACCGCACAATGGTGGTGCAAAAGCAATATCCATTCAATAGAAACTGTAGATTTTTGAATTTTGATTTTTGCCAACTAGTACTAGTGCATTAGTAGTAATCTGTAATATAATCTCAGTCAAACCACATGATCAGAATGGGAAACAAATATGGTTACAATGTACAATGTAGATGCATTTTTACTTACATTTTCAACTTATAATGAGTTTATTGGAATTTAGTCCTATTGTAAGTTAAAGAGCTTCTGTTTATGACTCTGATTACTTTATGTTCTATCCAATCAACTTAAAATAATGAATATAAAAATTAGCCAGCCTCCTATCTACAGCACAAAATACTGTGTTCTAAAAAAAGATCTGAGCCAGGCTGCAAAATAAGGAATAACAATGTCTACTCTCCCCTAACTGCACTCATTTACACGATTAACAATTTTTTTCTGCCCTAGGCAATGCTTGCTCTGAATATAGATTTGAAGTGGCTCCTAAATTAGAACTGCTGTTCCTAATGCTGAGCATATAATTACTCAACCTCAGCATGAAAAGCCAGCAAACACTTCTCCACACCTTATACATTAGCATTTATCTATATTTGATGTCAAAAAATGTTTGAAAATGACTTATGGTATAAAGAGGATTTTCAGGCTCATGGTGGTGAGATTTTGTGATATCCAGCTATATTTATTTATACTGGCTTTAATCAAACAATGCCTCATCTGAATCAGATCTGAGAAATATTTTGGGAGGTGTAAGAAAAATGCATTATCAAGCAAAGATGAGCATCTAGGTAAAAGAGTTTGATTTTCTTCTGGGACTTCGGAGAGTGTACAAATCAGAAAATACTAGTTATATGGTGAACACACAACTCTAACTATCTCAAGCCTTTAAAACTTGCCTTTGACTCATGAGAATAATTCTGGTCTGTGTAGGGCACAAGAATCATTAGCTGTACTATATATTTAGAATCCCAATGACCTAATTCTATGCATTAATGTGCTAAATATAGTTTTCTTTTTTCTCTCAAGTTGCAAAACAAAAATTCACTCTTGATGTTTTTCTTCTGCTCTGACAGAGTTTTTACAGTATTTTAGTATTTATCTGTCTTAAAAGATGAAGATAATGTGGGCTATTGAGAGGACAGGATGGCAAAAAAAAAAAAAAAATGTTTAGGAGACAGGTGCTGGTGGCTCATGCCTGTAACCCTAGCTACCAAAGAGGCTGAGATCTGAAGATCATGGTTCAAAGCCAGCCCTGGCAGGAAAATCTGTGAGAGTCTTAGCTCCAATAAACCACCTGAAAACTGGAAATGGCACTGTGCCTCAAGTGATAGAGTGCTCACCTTGAGCTGAAGAGCTGAGGGACAGGGCCCAGGCCCAGAGTTCAAGTCCCAGGATTGGAAATATTCGATGGACATTTAGTGAAATGTGGGAGAGATCCATGAATACAGAATTACTTTGCAATATGGTAAAAATGGTGAAAGTACGCAAACAGGTATTTCTTCATGATTCTATCAAACTAACTCAGCACTGAAGCATTAGTGAAGGGTTCCTGAAGGCATTAATGACTAGACTAGGTCTTAAAAGGTGAGTGGCAGAGGGACTGGGGATGTGGCTTAGTGGTAGAGTGCTTGCCTAGCATGCATGAAACCTTGGGTTTGATTCCTCAGTCCCACATAAACAAAAAAAGCCAGAGGTGCTCTGTGGCTCAAGAGGTAGAATGCTAGCCCTGAACACAGAGAAACTCAGGGACAATGTCCAGGCCCTGAGTTCAAGCCCCAGGTTTGGCAAAAAAAAAAAAAAAAGTGAATGGCAGAATGTGTGGATCAGAAAGTCTGATCAACAACACAGAGGTTAACAGGTGAAATAGATCTGTAGTCCTTGGAAGAAGGGAGGTACTCCACCCTTGTCACTATTACATCTTGACCACCTTTTGCAGATATACTGTGCAGTGATGACATGAGCCGCTATTATGACTGAGTTTACCATATATCCCTTACCACCTTTAGGTGGTAGCTCCTCATTTTCTAGGCAGTCTTGTGTACCTCATATGCTAATCACAACCTCATATTAATTTCCTACATAACAAAGTACTACAAACTAGGTGTCTTACCAGAAATTTTACATCTCACAGTTCTGAAAAACTGAATTCTAAGACTAAGGTGTCCTCAGGGTGGGGAATGAAAGGGCAAATCTGTTCTGTGCTTGTGTCCTAGCTGCTGGTGGATAGCAGTAACATTGCTGTTCCTTAGTTTTGAAATGTGTCATTCTAATCTCTGTCTTCATGTTCATGTTGTTTTCTGCCTCTCTTGGAATTTCCCCTTTTATAAAAATATCAGTCATATTGGATTAGGGGCCTCACCCAACTCTAGTATGACCTCATCTTTAATTACTTTTGAAATAACTCCATTTCCAAATAAAGCCACATTCTGAGATACTAGAGGGTTATTACAATTGAGGACTTAACATAGGCATTTCAACTCAATACCATCTTCCAACATCAAATAATTTCAAAACTTTTAAATTATATTTATTTAAAAATACTAAATTCAAAATATTAATTTGTCAAGAACTTTTTTCTATTCATTACCTTATATGCATTCATTATATATATATTCTGTTAATTTCATGTGAACAGATTTCATGAAGTAATTAGAATTTAGCAAATGTCTTTTTTTTTTTTTTTTTTTTTCCTGGTCCTGAGGCTTGAACTCAGAGCCTGGGCACTGTCCTCAAACCTCTCTGTGCTCAAAGCTAGTGCTCTACCACTTGAGCCACTGCACCATTTCCTGCTTTTTCTGAGTAGTTTGTTGTAGATAAGAGTCTCACAGACCTAAATGTCTTTTAAAAAGACATTTACCCAAAAGTATAATATCCTAAATTAAATTGTGCCTCACTTACTTGTTGATACAATGTTTTAAAAAAAAGGCTTCTGATTTTTGAGGCATTGGACAATTCTATAAAACAAGAATACATTGAAATAGTATAAAGATAGTATAAAGAATATAAGAGAATAGTATAAAGAATAGGCTCAAGCGGTAGAGTGCTCGCCTTGAGCTGAAGAGCTGAGGGATAGCACCCAAGCCCAGAGTTCAAGACCCACGACCGATCAAAAAAAAAAAGAATAACATGTTGACTACTAAGTAGACCAAATAAAAATTGGCAGTCAGTATTTGATATTTTTAATCATTTGATAATATGGCCTTCACCTAATTTTGTTTGGTCTAGCACCCATAGGCAGAGGAAAGTACAGTGCTCTCTATTAGTTACTTTTAAATTAATGCTATATTTAATCCTTATTTTAGGTCATTACAACTTTTAGAGATATTTTTCCCTTCAGCCTACAAAATGGGGCCAAATTGTGCATGCGTGTATATTCACACACATGTGTGTATACATACATACATATATGTGCACACCCGTTTCAGAAACATGCAACAAATTCAATTTCTGGTATCATTAACCTTTTATCCAGAGTAAAACAATTGGTCTGTACGGTCCAAACCCTGTTCACAAAAGCAAAGTGTACATAGGGCAAAGGACTGGGTTCACTCAAGGATTCTGTAATCTGATTCTACTACTTTCTCAGTCTCTCCCAGTAGCTTCCAGATCTTTCAGTTCCTATTTCCACATTTCCACGACGTGACAGATTTTGTTGCGCTCTATATACAGAAATTGATATTGACTATTAATTCGACTGTTAGGTTGGCTTTTTTCTGTTTCCCGTCGTCAACAGATCCTGAGTCTTGTTGGCTCCGCTCACTCCTAGTCTCTGAACCTTTTCTTCTTTCTCTTTTACTCTCTAGCTGTGTAGGGGGATTTAAATTCCAACCCGGAACTCAGAGTAGCGCGCACTGAGTGACGGGAGATGTAGTTTCTCTGACTCTGGACTAACCGCCTGTCACGCCGATTCCTCTCCTGAGCGAAAACCCACAACTCCCAGGATGCACCCTTGGATGAGCCCGCCCCTTTGCGCAGGCGCACTGAGGCCGCAGGATTTGAATCGGCGGCGTTGTTATTGACGCCATATTGAGGCCGGCGGCGGGTGGAAGAGTCGTACCGTGACCAAGGAAGCGGCTGGACGTGTTCGTTGGAGCTCCCACCGCCACAGCCACCTCGCCAGCCCTCCTCCTCTGCCGCCGCTCGCCAGCTTCTGAGCGTACCCGGGCGCCTTAGAAGCTGTGTTCCAGCTTCGTTCCTCCCGGGACCGCGATCGACTTCCGAAGGGAGCCGGTCTCCGCTCGGGGGCTCCGGAGCCCGGACGGACGGACGGCGGGGCGGCCGGAGCCTCTGCCGGGGAGCCGCGCCGAGGAGGCGGAAGAGCCCCCCTGACGCGGCCGGCGTGCGTGCGGCCACCGCCCCTCCCGCCCTCGCCCGGGCCGGCCCTGGCCACTGCCCCTGCCGCGGAGGCAGCGGCGGCGGCGGCGGCGGAGGCAGCGGCAGCGGCGCGATCGGCGGCGGGCGCCCCCGACACCCACCGGCTCCTCCTGCGCCCGTCGGTTGGGCGCTCGGCGAGTCCCCGCTCGTAACCTCCCTGCCTTCCCCGACCGCGCCCGACTCGGGCGCCGCGGCCGCCACCACCACCGCCACCCCCCCCCCTCCACCCCCCGCCATGGCGTGCGGAGCGACTCTGAAAAGGACTCTGGATTTCGACCCGCTGCTGAGCCCCGCGTCCCCGAAGCGGAGGCGCTGTGCGCCATTGTCGGCGCCCACCTCCGCCGCCGCCTCCCCGGCGGCCGCGGCCGCGGCCACCGCCGCCTGCTTCTCGGCCGCGGCCGCCTCGCCGCAGAAGTACCTCCGGATGGAGCCGTCCCCCTTCGGCGAGGTCTCCTCCCGCCTCACCACAGGTGGGACTCGGCCGCCCCCCCCCCTCCACCGCGGGGCGGGCCGGCCCGGGCGGGGAGGTGGGGGGTCCCGGGGCGCGGGGTGGGTGGGGGTGCGCGACGGCGCCCCTCGCCGCCCGCCGGAGTCGTCGGGCGAGCCCAGTTGTTTTAAGTGGTTCTCGGGGTGCGGAGACACAATGGGAACGGCCCTGCGATTCGGGGGTGGGGTGGGGTTGTTGGGGGGGCAGGGAGGGTTCCGCCGGTCTTGGGGGTGGGGGGGGGGAAGAGGAAGATCCTTTTTTCTTTGGGCGGAATTCACTGGGTTTGAGTGTTTCCGTCGGTCCGTCCGTGGAGAGCCGGCGGAAACGATCCGAGAAGGCGAGATTATTCCCCAACCAGGCGAGGGAAGGTCACATTTCACCCGAATCTCGACATCTGTTGGCCGGAATCGAACGGTGGTGGCCGTGTGAACTCTGGGACTGGGTGGTTGGAGGCGAGACGGCAGCCCCTCCTCCTCCTCCTCCGGTTCAGACATGGCTGATTTTAGTACCGAGGGGGTGGGGGGTGGGGATGGATGTCACCGGGGCGCGATCTAGGCCTGTCATTAATCACCCACGAGAACGCCACTCGGGCTGAGTCAAGACCTGTTTCCCTAGCAGGGTCAACAACAAAGAGAAGGCACTTCCCGAGTACTCTGGAGGTGAACACACCGTGCGTCCGGACCTTGAGAAAGCTGGAACTTTTATTGAGGACTTGGCTTTTATTTGTCAGTGCTCTATTTCTTTATTTCTGTCTAGCAAAGTATGTTGGGAGGGAAAAAACAACTTAGAATAATAAGGAAGCAAATCCCAGGGACTTGAGACTTAATTTGCATCTTGAAACATTTTCTAAAAGTGATGTGAAGGAATGCCTTTTGGCTGCTGTGTAGAGAGAGCATGTGTGTGCCCAGGTGTTCTTTTTTTTTTTTTCTTTCTTCATCTTCCTTTTTAATCACTCTGCCTATACTTTGAAATCCTTGTGTGTTCCTGCACATCCTAGGATAGGATTTTGTGCATTTGAAGTGTAAATCTCTTTTCCTTTGTGTGTACGGTGAAAAGATTTTGCGTGTGTGTCTTTGGTACTGTCACTTAGACAAAGCCTTTGATTAGCTTGATTTGAAATGCCTCATAATTAGCTTTTATTTTTTAAGGTAGCAAGTACGTATTTCTATTTGTCAGAAGGTTTTTTGCTTTTTCTAAATACCCTTCACCAAATCCATGGGGAGACCCTCAATTACACAGACAACCATTTTTGCTATTAAATACTTGATGTTTTGGAGTTGTAGCCAGTTTTGATAGGAATTCCCAGAGTTACTGTTTTTTATAAAGGCCTTTCTGATTGAAAGCTTTTCTTGTTTTTAAGAAATATCCAACAATGTCATGAAAGCTCTTTATGTAGATATCTTTAGTCTATTTAGTGAAATGCCACCTTTGAAAACTAATGTCAGTAAATATATTAAGCCATTTTAGAACTACTAAGCCATTTTAGAATAGGTTATAACCTGCAATAAATGTGGTTGAAGACAGTGTTAAGAGTGTTAAATTTGTGAGTTAAAAGTGTATCTCAATGCTGCTAAAGTAGTCTTGAGTGTATTTGTAGTTCACTTTTTTTGAGTGTATTTGTAGTTCACTTTAAAGGGACTTACTGAAAGAATTAGGAGCTTATTTTGGATTTGTATTTTTGATACATTTGTGGCAGTTGTTTTCTCATTTCTGATTTCAGTTAGGTATATTATATATAATAGTAAACGAATTGGAATTGTTACTATTGTTTATACCAGTGGATTCAATTTCATATTTTCCAAATCTTGTTCTTCTGTTTATCATGCTATTTTTTGACACCTACTTCGGAAGTTGGATCAAAGCCTGAAACCTAAAGTCACCTCCTATCAGGTTTCATTGAATCTGTCAAAAATTAGTTATTTCAGATAGTTTGAGTATTAAAGCAAAACGTTGACTTGAGAAATGAGTTAATTTTTTATTTAAAATTTTTTATTTAAATGTGCATATATATATATATATATATATATATATATATATATTGCCAGTCCTGGGGCTTAAAAGTTAGAGGCTCTGAGCTTTTTTTTTTTTAATCTTTTTTGTTCAAGGCTAACTCTCCCACTTGAGCCAAAGCTCTACTTCCAGTTTTTTTGCTGAATGATTGAAGAGTCTCATGAACTTTACTGCCTGGGCTGGCTTTGAACAGTGATCTTAAGATGTCAGCCTGCTGAATAGCTAGGATTACAGGCATGCACCAGAATCTGGATGAAATGTGCATGTTTAAGTAATTTTTAATGACATGGCAAGTATCTTTTGTTTTTTGTTGGTCATGGGGCTTGAACTCTGGGCCTGGGCCTTGTCCCTGAACTCTTCAGCTCAAGGTGAGGAGTACTCTTATCACTTGAGCCACAGCACCACTTCCGGTTTTCTGGTGGTTTATTGTAGATTAGTCTCACAGACTATTTAGTACCCAGCCAGCTTTGATACATGATCCTCAGATCTCAGCCTCTTAAGTTGCTAGGATTACAGGTGTGAGCCACTGGAGCCCTGCAAATGTGTCTTTATGTGACAGTTTGGGATTTGCTCTTGTATAGTTTTGTAATAATGTTGTCATAATGGGAGCTGCACAGTGTTGGGCAGATAGGAAAGAGCTTTCCGGTTTTCCTTCCCAGGCACTGGTTTTAACTACAACGATTCTTAAATTTGATAGGAATGAGGGCTGGAAATGAGGATTAATGGTAGAGTGCTTGACTAGCATGCACGAAGCCCTGGGTTCGATTCCTCAGTATCACATAAACAGAAAAAGCTAGAAGTGGCTCTGTGGCTCAAGTGGTAGAGTGCTAGCCTTGAGCAAAAGAAGCTGAAGCACAGTGCCCAGACCCTGAGTTTATCCCCCCTTTCAAATATATACGTAGGTGTGTGTGTGTGTGTGTGTGTATGTATGTGTGTGTATGTATTTGGATTGTAATGAATATATCCATGTATTCTTAGTTGAAATAATTAGCTAGGATTGATTCCTTCGTACAACCTGGGAGCTAAGAATGTCTCATGTTTTTATTTTTATTTTTAAATTATTTTGTGGTGCTCGCTAGCACTGAGACTTTGAACTCAGGTCCTTGAGTTCTTGTGTGGATATGTAGTTAAGGCTTGTGCTCCACTTCAGCTTTGCTGGGTCGTTGGAGATGAGATTCTTACAGACTTTTCTGTCTGATCTGGCTTGGAACTGAGATCCTCCCAAGTGGCTAAGATTACTGGAGTGGGCCACCTGCATGTCCTAGACCTAGCTTGTCCTTTTCAGTTTTAAAGTGGCTGGAAAAGAGCTGAAGTAATTACTTTGGGGTATGTGAAAATAATAAGGAATTCGCGTTTCAGTGGTTGCCATAAATGTTTTGTTGGAAAACTCTTTCCTTTTTTCCTTTTAGGTTTTGTTCACTACAGACTGAGAAGTTGTAACAGACTATTGCTCTAGAGGTCATATTTACTATATGGTCCTTTACAGAAAAAGTTTGTGCACTCTGGTCTATAGTGTTAGCAGTGAGATTTAATTTTCTTGACTATTTAGAAGTGAAAGTGGGTGAAGAATGAAAGTTGGTATGGGGAGAGAAGCATTAATATGGTTGGGGAAATGAATGCGTCTAATTGGAGAAAAATACTTATCCTGGAAAGTTAATAGAAACAAATTTGAAGTGTTCTATCTTTACTCATTTTTGAAGCATCTGTGGTATTATCATTTAGCCTAGAGATTGTCATGATATTCCCAAGTTGTTTAAGAAAACCAAAATATTATGCAACATTACAAGAGATTGTCGGTCAAATTCAACACATGTTTTTATAATTGTTCTGAGAATTAACGGACTGGTGAAGAGAGCCTTCTGTAAACATCAACTTTTTTGTGAGTTTACTAGTAAATTAATACACATTGTTTATGGCTTGCTATCATGGTTCTCATTTGCCTTAGGAATTGAGTTGGATGAAGAGTTAAATTCCTTTGTAAGAACTCATTGTATCTGCTGGAAGCTAGCCACTAAAAATGGAAGCTACAGCTTGTGAATGGAGAAGAGTTTACAGGAACATAGATTGTTCACTAGACATTGATACATGCCTGCAAATGGAGACACCAGCTGGCTTAAATGAAATATAAATGGTTCTAGGCAAACAAATGAGATGTCTGTTGGAGCAGGCAGCATCTCACTTCAGATGTCATTTGTATTGAGCCAGAAGTGGGTTTTGATTTTTTTGTTGTTGGTGGTATGGTTATTTAGACAGCTGTTAAGTTGGGTTTGGCAAAAAAAATTTTTTTTAACTTAATTTTGTTATTATTAAGGTGGTGTACAGAGGGGTTCCCATTTCAGAGGTCGGGTAATGAGTACATTTCTTTTTTGGACAATGTCACCTCTTCCTCTTCCTTTACTCTGTACTGTGGATTTTAAGCCTGGTATTTTGGACTGTGTAGTGCGATAAGTTGGGGTGGGGGTGAAGGTCATTGGGAGAGGGCTTTGTATAGCCTTGGTTTTGTTTTCAGTATCCAGCACTATGATTGAAAAGAAAAAAGTTTATGGCTTTTAAAGAAGAGTGCAGTTGTATTCATTTTTGAAGTCTTTTGCGAGAAGGGGTCAGAAAAATGAAGCCTAATTTAAGTATAGGAATGGATAGGCTAGTCTTTGAAAGGTTAGGTATCAATGCTGCCATGGTTGCCATAGAGACATAATCAGAGATGTAAAGGAGAATAATTTCTTCAGTTTTAAAATGGCTTTATAGGAAAAAATAATGCATTGTGAGTTACTCAGGTGTATTTTTCCTGCTGAATATTGAGATAGAACCAGGGTAGAAGGACTATTCAATAGAATGTCTAGTTTTATGTATTTTTTTCCTTCAAAAACAAGCATTGTTTTAAGTATTTTTTCTACATTACGTCTTTCATTGTAGTATTTGTATCATAACTCATTTGAATCACATTTTGTCATAAAATGTTGTTACATGTTATTG